GGGGGGGGGGGGGGGGAGTCCGGTACAGCCCCCACCCCAAATCAGAACGGCGCTCACTCTTTGGGCGCCGGCACTTTGGAGTCGGGCCGCAGCACCAGGTCGATGTGAAGGGGTTTCTCACGGATTTTATTCTTCCTTTTCCGTCCTGGTGGTGGTGGTGAAATAAATAAAGCCCCCCCCCCCAACGCCGGGGGGGGGGCTGGGGGGGGGGGGGGGGGGAAAGGGGGGCCCCCCCCCCCATAGCGCTCACCCTTCTCAGCATTGCCCGTATCCACAAAGAAGAGCCCCGCGTCGGGCTGCTCCGCGATCAGACCGCTGCAAAAAGGACGGGGGGGGTTCAGGCGGCCCCCCGACCCCAGAGCCCCCTCCCACCCTCCGGACCCCCCCTGCCCCCAACCCCGCACCCAGGCCTTCGCCCCCCCCCCCCCTCACCCCGCCACGCGCTGCTGTAGCGTCACATCCTCGAGGAAATCGCCGATCTCGCGGCCCAGCCGCGCCTCGGGCCCGGCCCAGCGCTTCCAGCCCTTCTTGCGGTTCCTGGGGCCGCGGTTCCGTCGCCGAACGGCGGTCGCCGGGTCCCGTGCGGACGGGGTGAGGCCCAGGAAAGAGCGCGACTCCGCGCCCGCCGCCATAGCGGCAGAGAAAGAGCGTGCAGGGAGCGCGGCGCCGGAAGTAATGCGCAGGCACTTCCGGTCACCGGGATGGGGGGGGGGAGAGGGGAGTGCGCCGCCTCGTGGCTGGAGGACCGACGCCGGCTGCGCCGCCCCGCCCACCGCCGTGCGAACGGACCCCCCCCCACGAGCCGCCCCTCCCCGCCCCTTTCTTATCCCCCACCTCTTTCTTATCCCCGCCCCTCCCCATTTTCCGCCCTTATCCCCCTCCCACGTGACCCCCTCCACGTCCAACCCCCCACGTGCGCCCCCGATGTCCCCCTCCCCGAACGCACCCCATGTCCCCCCACGTACCGCCCCGCACAGCTCCCCGCACACCGCCCCCATGTCCCCGCCTGTAACCCCACACGTCCCCCCACACCCTCCATACGTCCCCCATATATACATACATGTCTGTTCTCCACGTATAACCCCGCATCTCCCCATGCCTGCCCTATACACCCCCCCACGTCTCCTCCATACATCCCCATATACATCTGTTCCCCCCATATAACCCCCATGTGATCCGTGTAACTCCCATATGACCCCCCATACACACATCCCTCCATACACCCCTCATACATCCCCATACATACCCCCCCATGCTCCCCCATACATACATACCCCTACACCCCCCCTAAGGCTGCTCTACACCCCCCACATACCCCCTATACATACCCAATAAAGCCCCCATACATACATCCCCTATATACGCCCCTACACATACCCCTCCCCAAACACCCCCTATACACCCCCTAAATATACCCCATACATACACCCCCCACACATGCATCCCCTCATACCCCCCATACACCCCCCCATACACACATCCCCTCATACACCCCATACACCCCATACATCCCCCATACCCCCACACGTACATGCCCTCATACACCCCATACACCCCCCATGCCCCCATACATACACCCCCCACACACACATCCCCTCATTCACCCCATACATCCCCCATACACACATACCCTCACACCCCCCATACCTACATCCCCTCATACCCCCCATACACCCCATACACACATCCCCTCATACACCCCATACACCCCATACATCCC